GCCGCCGTTCCCGTCCGCTGGAAAACGCCTCTCCCCTGGACCCCACCGGCTTTCTCCAGCAGCTTTCCCCACCAGCTGCTCTGTCCCCTCCAGGAGGCCGATGTCCCCCCAGGCCATGCCCTTCATCCCGTGCCTCCTGTGGCATCGCTGGGCGAGGTCCCGCTGTCCCGGTGTCCGCTGTTCCTCCATCCCATGGCAGAGGCCATTGGGGTGCGGAGTCATTGGTGCTGCTCAGGCTCTGCTGTGGGTGTGGGGTTTGTTTGTTTTGGCTTTTTTTTTTTTTTTCTTTCTTTCTTTCTTTCTTTCCAGGAAGAGCTTAATGTTCTCGTATTTCTGGCTCCCTTTGCCACTTGAGATTTGGCAAAGACACCAACCGAGAGTGATTCTTAAATGTCAAACTGGACAAAATATTTTGAAGCCCCCTTAGACCGAGGCGGAAATGTCAGTGTGTTGTAGATGGTGACTTTTCACGTCCATGATGGTTCCTGGGGCAGCAGCACCCGGCACAGGGGCTGCAGCCATCCCAGGAGGCAGCAGTGTGGCTGTAAAGTGCAGGCTGTTGTGACTTGGAGGTTGCCCTCAGTGCTCCAGAGGCTTGAAAGGCTGGGAATCATGGAGAAACATCTCCCTGGTGGGTGTGAGCCCCCACTGTGGGTGAGGCTGGACCCACTCAGTGGGCTGTGTGCTCTCAAATGTTAGCTTTTTCTGTGTTTGTCATGTGGAAAGAGCAGGAGAGTTGGGTTGTAAGATGCCAAAGGAGGAGATGCTGGTGGAGAGGGGATTTGGGAAGTTCTGCCCCACTAGCAGAGGTGGAGGATGGCACCTGTCTCTGTACCTGAGCGTGGGCAGGGCTTGCCTTGGGACTGGGTGAGCACAGTGTGCTCTGTGCCTGACCTCGCTGGGGCTCCAGGGGGCAGAGAGGCTGCTTGTGCAGTCTCAGGGGATGAGGGGCCCTCCCTGTTTTGTCCTGCCAGACACTAGGAGGGAAAAGAATCAAAGACCAAACCAAGAAAGGCAGGACAGCAGCTCTTCTTTCTAACCCTTCTTCTGAGCACAGCACCTTTGACGACTGCTGCCTGCTGTTGAGGAGGGGAAGTGATGGTTCCTTAGAGTTTTTGTGAGGTCTGTTTCCTCTGAGCACTTCTCCCCTGACCTTTACCTGCTGCTATCACCAGCACTTGGATTTAGCAATTCCCCCTCCTCACACCCCATGCAAGAAAGCTTTGGATTCCTCACCTGAAAGTATAAAAAGTCACATTATGGCCTTTCTCTGAGTCAGTCTGTTCAAAGGGGAGTTCCAAGGCTGTGCAATGAGTTGTAAAAGCTTCTGAGCTTTCCCTTTGGCTGTGCTTCCTTCTGCTTTCCTAGGTCTGTGCAGAGGGAAGATGTCTGGGGTCAGGGTGCTAAAATGCTGGGCTGAAGCTGTCAGTAGTTTTTTGCAAGTGGCTGGGCTGAAACCTGTGGCTGAGCATTTCTGGGCTCTGCTGATGGCCTGGCCTGGCAGAAGTGTTTGGATCCAGGGCTTTATGTGTACTCAGGAGTTGCTTTCCCCTGCCTGGCAGTGTCTTTTCTTTGTGCTGTCTCCTGGTGCTCAGCTGCAGAGCCAGGGCTTTGTTGGCTCTGCTGGGTGTGTTTGCAGGTGTGTCACACACGTGTGCTGCTGCTGGGATCCTGGGGCAGGCAGGTGATCCCTGCCTGTTGGTGGTGGTCTGTAACACGTGCACACTCAGGAATTCCACTGAGGATGGACAGAATCAGGCCCAGCTCTAGGAACACCCACACCCTGGAAAGGGAAAGGCAGTAGGAGTGTTCAGGGGTGTTTTTATCGAGCTGCTGAGTGAGAAGAGCAAACATCCTGGCACACAGTGCCCTGGCACTCAGGGCAGGAGGTGCCAGCTCACCTGTTACATACCTTGCAGTGTTGATAAGCATGTCCTGAACGTGTTGAGCACTGTGGGGATCAGCCCTGGCTCACCTCCCTGCTGCACCCTGGGCAAGCTTCCTGCGAGGGTTTCAGCTGCTCAGGAGGTGCTCCAGAGCCAAGCTGGCCCTAAGTTGGGGAGCAAAGGCAGGAACACTCCTTGCTGAGGGTGCTCTGCTGGTAATTGTCTCAGGCTGTTCCAATGTGCAGTTAAAGGGTGCCCATGGCACCTGGCAGTGCCCTGTGCTCAATCCTGGGGTATCCTTGTCTCCCCTGCTCTGGCAGGGAGGCTGTGGGTTTGTTTTGGCTGCTCTCCCCTCAGATGGAGCAAATTTGGGTCCTTGCAGACCCTTCCTAGGGCAGGACTGTGTTTGCTCTCTGGGGTTAAAGCCAGAGCAGCCCTGTGTCCTTCAGTTTGCTGCAGCCAGCCTGGTTTGTGCTTCTTGTCATGTTAGTGACTCCCTCCCAACAGTGTGGCCACTAACAAAACTAGGAAAGGCCCTTTCCATGGAGTGCCCCAGCTGAAATGGGGACATTTGAGAGCTTTGGGCTGCTTGCAGGGGGATGCACGTGCCATTTCTGGCAGGGCAGTGGCACCCACAGGTTGCCCTTCCAACACCCCCACCCTGATGCTGGGGTGAGAATTCTCCTTTTGCCCTGTGTTTCCTGCCCAGTCACAGGCAGTGCATCCTCCACAGTTCTTGTGGAGAAGTGTTGCAGGAGGAGTGAGTCTGCAGCAGGAGCAGTGTTCCCCTCAGTGTGGGGTGTGCAGGGAATCTGTGCCCCAGCAGACTTTGCCATGACCTGGCTGGGAACAAGGGCTGTAGTGGTGCTTTCTGAGGGGAAAACAGCCCTTCTGTACCAAAGAGGGCTTAAAAAGCAGCTGTACCCACTTGTGACAGATGCTCCTCTGGGATTCAAGAGTTTGTGGGTATTGCAGGGCAGAATGACCTGTGTGGGTCAGGAGATGTGGAGTGGGATGGAGCTCCCTTCCCTCTGCTGAGAGCACAGTAAAACTCTGGTGCTGCTTGGGTGGCAGAATTCAGTTTTCTTGTGAAATAAGCATTGTCCATGCCTTGCTGGGTCTGTGTTTCCCTCTGCCAGCAGGAAGGCAGGTGAGGCAGTGGGTGCCCCTTGGTGTGGGGCAGCCCGGGGCTCTCATGGTCCCCACATTAACTGACCCTGCCTGGGTTGCAGCAGCTCTGGGTTTTACATGGCAGGAGAGGGGCTTTGCATGGAGTTTCTGTGTGCCACTTGGCAGGTTTTGTGTGTATTGCCCTTTTTTTTTTTCCCAATCCTTAAGTAAAAATGTATCTTTGGCAACTGGGTGTAGCAGGGGGATCCCCGGGCTGTAGAGTCAGGAACTGCCGAGCTGCAGCTGCACCATCCCACAACCCCAGCCCTGCTTTTGTCTGCGCTGTCAGTCCATGGGAGAGGGGCTGGCTCCCAAACAAAGCCCACAGAGCATTTTGAGCAGTGCTGCTGCTCCCCCCATGTGAGGTGGCTCCACAAGCCCAGCACAGCTGTGGCTCTGCTCCTCAACAGCTGCCATGCCCCTCTCCCCAGAATTAAAACCCAAGCCATATTTAAACCACTGGGTTGTGGACAAGACTTTCTAGGCAGGTCTTAGAGCACAGATGAGCCTGGTCCTCTCTCACCTGTATCTGCCCAAGGGACAAAATGAAGTCTGTGAGGCAAGGTCTGGCAGTGTGGGCTGTGGCAGTGCCAGCAGCTTTCCTGGAGCCGCAGCTGCAGTTTCCCCATTCAGCCCTGGGTAGGGAGGCCTGGAGCCTCCACCCCTGCGTGTCAGCCCGACCTTTACACCCAGCTGGAGGCTGAAGGTCGGGCTGTGCAGCGCTGGGTGCCGGGCTGGCGGCTGCTCCTGCCCAGCCGCCTGGCAGGAAGGGGCTGGTGTCGTCTGGAGGCTTCCCCAGCTCTTCCTGCACGTCTCTGCCGCTGGGATGTAGAAGCAAAAGGTGAATTCCTCCTCCCTGCTCCTCTTCCAAGGGCAGGCACTTTGTGTTTTGCCTCCTTTTCCCCATTCCTGCTGAGGGGAAGGTTTTTGCTGCCAGCAGAGTGGTAACTGGGGGCTCTCCCAGTGGCTGTGGTTGTGTCTCCCTGCTCCAGCTGGTGGGCAGTGGTCTCCTGGAGGGGCTCTTGCTCTCTCCATGTTTGAGCTGTTCTGTAGGTCAGCAGCTTGCCAAGTCCTGCCCAGCCATTCCCTCAAGGAGCAGTGGAGGTCAGAGCAGCACTGCCTGAGCTGCTGTGTGGGAAGCTGTGGTGGGGTTGGGAGCAGCTGGAGCCCTGCCTGCTCCAGGTGCCCTGCCCGGACCCCTGCACGGCTCTGTAACCTCTCCAGCTCTGTGTGCAGTGCCAGGCAGGCCGGTGGGCACAGTGCCCCGTGGGGATGAGCCCGGGGCCAGCCGTGCCGGCACTGAGCAGCCCTGTCCCCGCAGAGTACAGCCGCTTCGAGTCCAAGATCCACGACCTGCGGGAGCAGATGATGAACAGCAGCATGAGCTCGGGCTCGGGCTCGCTCCGCACCAGCGAGAAGAGATCGCTCTACGTCCGGTAAGGCCCCGCCCGCTCCGGCAGCGACCGGCACGGCCCCGGGGGTGGGGAGGGCTGCAGGGGGGTCACAGCTCAGCCTGGGCTGTGCAGAGCCACGGGGACATCCCCGCGGGTGGGCTGGGCTGCTGGGGAGGTCACAGCTCAGCCTGGGCTCTGCAGAGCCTCCAGCAGGGATGGGCACATCTGCAGGGGGTGGTCCCAGCTCAGCCTGGGCTCTGCAGAGCCTCCAGCAGGGATGGGCACATCTGCAGAGGATGGTCCCAGCTCAGCCTGGGCTCTGCAGAGCCTCCAGCAGGGATGGGCACATCTGCAGAGGATGGTCCCAGCTCAGCCTGGGTTCTGCAGAGCCTCCAGCATGGCTGCTGCATGGCTGCTGCTTGGGGTGTCACAGCTCAGCCTGGGCTGTGCAGAGCCACGGGCACATCCACCAGCATGGGGTGTCCCAGCTCAGCCTGGGCTGTACAATGCCATAGACACATCCCCACAGCTGCTGCAGGGATGTCACAGCTCAGCCTGGGCTCTGCAGAGCCTCAGAGCTCGGTGTGTCAGGGACCAGGGGGGTGAGTACCATGGATGCATCACAAAGCCCGGAGGGAGCACCAGACTTGTGCACTGGCTTGTCAAGGGTGCTCGCATGCCTCTCCCAAGGTCTGCTCCAGCTTGGAAAGCAGTGGTCTCTGCAGAGCCTGGGTGGCTGCTGGACAGCCCAACACACTGAGGAGAACAGGGAAATGGTGGGCATCCAGCCCTGCTTGTGCCCCAGGCAGCTCGTGGCAGCTTTCAGGGCACTGTCTCTGAACCAGCTAACAGGCTTCTCCTTGTCTCGTCCTGCCATTGCTGTGGCAGGATCTGGCTGGATGGGAGATGAGCTCTTAGGAGGATTATTGCTCTGAGCCCTCAGAGCACTTTTGGTCAGGAGCCAGGTGCAGGACAGGCAGGCAGGGGTTAAACAGCCATGCAGCTCAAACTGCTGCAAGTCCTGTGTGGACAGGACAATCCCTGCCTGCCTCCTGCCACCTCCTGCCTGCCACAGCGCCAGTGGGATGAGCGCTAATGAGTAATTTTAACTTGGTAATTAAAATAATCCTGTAAATCCTAACCCTGCGCAGCCTGCTGCAGGTGAGGCTGGCAGGAGCAAGGGATGCTGCCTCTCCTTCCCTGTGAGAAGGATGGCAAGGGCCAAGGCTGCATGAGCCTCAGCTGCATCTCCCACTGCATGGCTGCTCCGTGCAGAGGGACCTCAGGCAGGGTGGAGATGTTGCAAGCCTGGCATGGCAGGAGGGGAGAGCTGCAGCTCTGGGTTCCTGCAGTTCACACCTTCCCACAAGTCTCTGCAGGCATCTTGCTTGATTTAGCATCCCAGGGCTTCCTGGGGGTGTGCGACAAGCTGGGTGCAGTGTTGAATAAACATCATCTTGTTAGGCCTGCCCTCACTCCCCTGCTGTCCTGTGGGCACCCTCATGTGTGGAGGAGGATTTAGGCTGGGTCCAGCTTGAGTTGAGCCTGTTTTCTGCCTGGAAAGGTGCTCATGGATCAAAATATTCCTATGAAACAGAGCAGCTCCCTGTTGCCTCCATGATACTCATAGCATTTCTTAATTCTTGGTGCATCCCCCCATGGGGCTTTGGAGGCCTCCACAGCACTGTGCCCCTCACACACACCCAGGAGGAGCTGGGCTGTGCCTTGATGATCCCAGGGTGATCCCAGGGGAGAGCTTTTCCCGAGTGTGGCCCATCACTGCACTCTGCTTAACACACACCCTGCAGACGTGCTTGGAAGAGCTGCCGGGTGCCCAGGCTGCCCCAGCCCTTCTGGGCGGGGTAGTTTCAAGCACAGTTCACCCGAAACCAGCTGAGCTGCTGTGCTGTGGACAGGACATCAATTACAGGACTTGCTACCCAGCTGCTTGAGTCAGCCCTGTGTGGCTGCATTGCAGCCTGTGTGCTGTGGGAGGGCAGGAGCTGGGCACCCCAGTGCCTGCTGGAGCTGATTTGGGGGTGCTGGGGTGCAGCACAGGTGGGGGCAAGGCGGGTTCACATGCTGCCTGTCACCTCCCTGCACTGCTGAGGGCAAAGTCTGCAGCGCCGGGGCCATGCTGGGTGGGGATGGAGGTCAGGCAGGCTTTGTGCCTGGGCACCAGGAGGAAGCCATGGGAGTCCTTGGCACTGCTCCTCTGCCCTCCAGCCAAGCCATCTGCTCTCCTGGCTCTGAAAGCTGGGATCTGGCCTGGGACAGAGCGGAGCTGCCGTCTGCCCCTGTGCCCTGAGGGGCACTGAGCCACGGGGGTGCTGCATGCCAGCACAGCCAGGGGCTGCTGTCCTGGAGCACCGTG